TAGTGAATTATTAGATCATGATTATTATATATATTTTTTTTTTGTTTATAAAATATTTTTACGTGTTCGTAAATTTTGAATCTATTAAAAATATTTTATATACGTTAATCGAATTTTTGTTTTCTAATAATTCATATCTTTTCGCCTTGCAGGCATTAAATTAAGAACGGGGATGTCGTCATAAATTAAAAAGTTCCAGGGGGCTAACTGACATCCCGAGTTTGAATACGTGCGGCTAAATATCCAGATAGCACAACGCGCTGATTGGTCGGCTGAATGACGTCAATCTACTGGAAATGTTGACCAATTAGCCTAAACTTTGTAAGAGTTTTGAGAGCGGGCAGACGTTATAATTATAGACATTTCATCTAAAACTCGATAAAAGACACTTATTTATAATTTCACTAGCTCTTGTGTGTATTGACATTAATGTTAAAATTATTGCAAAATTTTCAATTAAACTAAATTACGTGATAACAAAGATTTTAATGTTGAGAGAGTTTTCTCAAGCTTCATCGAGAAAATACTGAACTTAAAATAAAACAGTTGTCGGCTGATAAACTTGATTCCTTACCACCGAGACAGAAATTTGTAATAGAGCACATGCTGAAAGCATGCCATATAAAAAGCAAAAACGATATGAGATATGACATTAATTGGTTACTTGACTGTTTGCTTTTAAAAATTAGGTCACCATCTGTCTATGAATTTTTGAGAAATAATGATTACTTGCCTTTACCCTGTCAGTCTACACTGCATCAATATATCAGCGGCATTAATGCAAAATTGATGAAGATCTTTTTGTTATTTTAAAGACAAAATTGGAGACTATTCCACAAACAGAATGCCAGGGAGTTTTAATTTTTGATGAAATCACACTTCAAAAACATATAGAACTTTCAAAAGCTACTGGTGAAATGATTGGACTTGTTGATTGTGGTGACAATTCTGTATTGCCACAGAGTGAATTTACAGCAGGTGATCATGGCCTAGTGTTTATGTTCAGACCTCACTTTGCTAGTTGAATACAATGTATTGGCACATTCTGTTCAAAAAGCTCTGTCCCAGGTTCTACTTTTGCAAAACTTATTTTGCAAGCAATTATTCATTTAGAACAGTGTGGAGCAATAGTCAATGCAATAGTTTGTGATGGTGCCAGCACAAACAAAGCAGCTTTAAAAGCTCTAGGAATTTGTGCAGACACAAATAATATACAATGCTCATTTACAAACCCTGCTGCAGATAGACAAGTACTGGCTATTATTGATGTACCACATATTTTAAAATGTATGCCAAACAATCTTTTGAAAAGTAGATACTTTCAGGTAAAACTAAGAAAATAAAGTGTTTTCACCTAATTTATAATATAAGCCATTGCATTATTCTGCATTTTTACTTTTAGTTTCCTGAAGGAAGGGTGGAATTGCAGCATTTTAAAGCAGTTGTTGATGAAGATTCCAAATTACCAAAGGGATTAAAGGCACGTCCCAAAGTGACAGAAATACATGTCAATAACTTTCAGAGAATGAGTGTATTGCTGGCAGCTCAAGTAACACTTTTTTTTACTTATACAATCTCGACTTGATAAGAATACTTTTATTTATCTCATTTATTTATAGATATTTAGTAATACTTTTGCTGATGCTATGCTGTTTTATAAACAGCGCGAGATTGCTATCCTAAAGAATGCAGATGTTACAATAAGTTTCATACGTCACATCAATGCTCTTTTTGATGCTTTAAATCGTAGATTGCCACAGGAAGGAATCAGACATGATTCAAATGATCTCAAGGTAATAGTAATGATTCACTAGCAAAAACTATAAATGTTTTAATTAACAACTTTTTAAAAATAGGTTATTGAAGAATCTCTAGAATGGTTAAATAGATGGGAAGCATTCAGATTACAGATTAGAAGCACTGATCAAAAGGGATTTTTGAGCCACCAGACAGCAGAAAATCTACGCTTGACGCTGACT